TTACAGCATTGGCTTGGTCCCCTATGTTATATTTAGGAGAGCACATTTTTACCTCCTGATAAGACTGTTAGCTATTTGAGGCCATCTTCATTTGCCACAATTTGAGACAAGACTGTGCTCTCCATAGACCTGACCATTGAGTCTCTGAAGAACATGAGGTCAGGCCCTACACTACTCTTTTCAAGGAGATTGGCACATATAGATATTCTGTTCATTGCTCTTAGAGCAAATGACTCTCCTGGTGGCTTTCTTTGTCCCTTCTTCAGGATGACAATGTGCCTAGCTTATTTGCTAGTAGGAGAGCCTAAGCTTTGAGAATTCGGAAATGCCCACCAGTGAAAGTATGTTAGACTTGACTAGCCAATGCTGCGATAATAGATTTCCTCTGCCTGGCTTTTAAACACAAGTGAAAGTTATTTTCCCTTCTAAAACCTTTCATCCATACACTGCAATGCCAACTTTAGAAAAGAAATTCATTTTAGTGGTATTTTTTTTGTGTGTAGCTCCTAGAAAGCACCAATATACAATAAAACTATTTGTGTCTAAAAGTGAATAGAAATTCAAGAGCTAGTTTATACCTTAATTGTTTATTTTATTTCATTATCACAGATTTCTTTCAATTATATGTTAACATGTTAGCATAAGAGTCTTCCAGATGTGTTTGTTTTCTCAAAATTGCCATTGGCTTCATTAGCTCTTTTGCATTTCCATAGGAATTTAAGAATCAGCTTGTCTTTTTTCTTCTTCTTCTTTTTTCTTTCTTTTTTTTTTTTTTTAGAAAAATGTCTGTTCTTACCTGGATTGGAATTTAAAGTAGATTACAGATGTCCAGAGATTCTTCACAAGCTTCATACAAGACTGTGAAGTCTTCCTGTTGGCTTGATCACTTTATAATTATGAAGTAATCTTTATCTTTTAAGGACGCCTTTTTATATTTATTTATTTATTTATTTATTTATTTATTTTTACCGAGTCATCATCTGTTTTTGTTGAATGATTTTTTCAAGACACTGGGTTTATTTAAAAGCAGAAAGATATGAAAGAATTTCGTTTAACCTTTTAATATAAAACTATTTTACATCTTAACATTGAGAATGTATCTTTTGAACACAGCATATAATTAGGGCTTTAAAAGTCCATTATGAAAAGCTTTGTGTTTTACTTGTGAGTGTTTGTTCTGTTTCTAGATTTTAGTTCACTGATTTCACTTAGTGCTACCTATATGTGTGGATGTAGGACCATCAATATGGACATGGGTAACCTCTCAGGACTGGTAGCCATAAAGTAAACTCACACTCCCCTTTTCAGTAATCATGAAATGCCAATAGCTCCTCAGCTAGGGCTTTGTGAAACTTTCCTCATCCATTTTGAGATTTTGGCTGATTTGAAATTATACAAGAGTTGCATATGTAATCAGACACACTGTGAGTTCATTTATACAGTGTCACCGTAAGGTCTAGCAAATACCGTTTTGCTAAAGATGTTCCTTATCTCTGGATCTTACAATTTTCCTGCCTCACCTTCTTCAAAGATCCTAGACCCGTGGGGATATATATATATATGCACATTAACTAGTTGTGGGCCTCTTTATTAATCACCATCTACTATAAAACGATTTTCTTATGAGGGTTGAAAGATTCAGTACTAGCTGAGTATAAAAATAAAACTTAGGGAACATTTTATTACTATGCAAATTTATCAGAACAATAGAATTTAGCTTTTTTATTGGTCCAATGACATAGCTACCACATGTGTTTGGCCTAGTTAATGGTACCAGGCATAAATTCTGTCTTATGGAACAGGCCTTAAGTCCAATAAAAGTGATTGGTTAGGTTGGTTATTTCCTCAGCATTTGTGCCTCCTTTGATCCAGTGGGAATATCTTGCCAGGCCAGTTGTTATTATAGCTGGGTAAGAGACTGTTGGTGATTTTTTCCCCTGCCAATATGCATAGACACTTCTAGCAATATGAAAGCTACCCATTCGTGGTGAAGCTTCCAGTTAAGTACCAGCCTGCTTTCTCATGTTCTATGACTCAAATATATGGTATTGTCAGGAATATGATCTTTCTATTAAATTTTAAATGGTAACTAAGAGCAATGACAATTGCTTGGAATTTGGGGGATGATCTATGAGACCATATTGAGCAATATGGAACAGCCTGGAATGCTTGGAACCCCACTGGCCAACAACATGTAAAGAGTAACCCATAGGTAAGCTTTTTTATTTGATAGCCTATCTTGTTTGGTAAAGGCATTATCTTAGGGTTTCTATTGCTATGATTAAAACAAATGACCAAAAGCAATTTGAGGAGGAAAGCATTTATTACATCTTACAAATCCCAGGTCACACTCTATCACTGAGGCATGTCAGGATAGGAAATCAAGGCCGGAACATGGAATTAGGAACTGAAGCAGAATCCATGGAGCAGTGCTGTTTATTGGCTTGCTCTCCATGCCTTATTCTGCTTGCCTCCACCTGCTTAAGGATGGCACCAAACATAATGGAATGTGCCTCTCTGTATCAATTGCTAAACAAGAAAATGTCTTACACATTTGTTTGGAGACAATGTGATAGAGATATTTTCTCAGCTGAGGTTCCTTCTTCCTTAATATGTCTAGCTTTGGGTCAAATTGAAAAAAAACTCAACCATCATGGACTCTAACCTTCTGGAACCATAAGCCCAATTAAAATGCTTCCTTTTGTAATTCTGTTTTTATTTGCAGCCAAATAATGCCACATTTTATATATGTATGAAAATTTTAATATCCATTCACTATCTGTTGTTAATAGAGAAGCAATGAACATGGATGAGAAAGTTTCTCTGTCAGAGACTATACGCCCAGGAGTGGTAGAGCTGGTTCATATGCTTGTTCTATTTCTTGTTTTCTGAGGAACCTCTACACAGAATTTTATAGTGGGTGTGCCAGTTCTTTTTGCCCTGTATCTACAACCAGCATTTTGTACTTATTTATTTTATGATCCTAGCCATTCTGACTGTTGTAAAATAAAGTAGCTTTTTAAAATTTATTCTTTGTATGTTTCTTATCCCAACCCTGCTCATCTCCCCATGCCCTCATATTCTGTTCTTTGCCCTTGCAACCCCCCCCACAAATAAAACATACACACAAAAACAACAACAAAAACAAAACATAGAATACATCTCATGAAAGCTATAGTATATTACAGTATGTCCCATAATATACCCTTCTGTACACATATCTTCATTTGCAAAAGTTCATTGCAATGAGTCATTGGTCTAGTTCAAGAACTCTGGCTTCTGTGACAGCATCAATGTTGGATCCTCACCTAGACTCCTTCATGTTATCCTATTATTTTCCCTGTGTCATGGAGATCCTAAAGCTTTGGAACAGTAGGATTGACCCTTTCACATGACCCAGTTGTTTGCTAATGATATAGATTTTAGGGTGGGCCATCTTAGAGGCCTGGATCTGGGCCTGGGTTGTAGCAGAACTTGTCAAACCACCAGCATTCTCTTATTCTCACCACTAGGGCAAGCTCTCCAGCACTGCTCTGGCTAGGGCACCCAATGCCACCATCAGCAGGAGACATGATCAGCTCTCCTGCTCTCATGCCCTTGGGACCAGCTCATCTGTACCCACACCTCCAGAGCCAGCTCTACTCTACTGCCCACTCTCCCAAGAATTGCAAGCTGTGAAGGGCTAGACTAACTCCCCAACTCTCATACCCTCTGGGCTGGCTCACCTGTGCCTTCACCATCAGGGCCAGTACCACTCATGCCCTTGGGGCCAGTTTATATAACTATTGCAACTGGCAAGGTGGATGACATCGTCCCTGAAACCACTCCACCTCATGGCAGGCAGGGTAGGCTTTCTCATGCTGCTCTTGTCCTCAAGGCTGGCTCACCCATACCCCTTAGGGGGCAGCTCACCAAAGCCCCTTTGACCTAGGCCAGCACTAGTGTGTTGCCCAGGAGAGGTGCAGAGCCCACTCTCCTGAGTGCTGCTGGTAAGGAAGCAGGGACAGTGTGAGGACAGTGAGGAGTGTGAGGGGGAAGGCATCCCTCCTACAACCACACCAACCCATGGCAGATGAGTAGCAGGGCTACTCTTGCCCTCAGGGCTGGCTCACCTGCACCTCCACTCCCCAGTTGGCTCTCCTGTGCTGTCCAGGCAAGGTTCAGGCTTGTTTTCTTGAGTGCTGAAGCTGATGAGGGGCAGGGATAGCTCTCCTGAACTCATGACCCCATGGACATCTTTCCCAACTGCCAGAGGTGGGGAGGGGCTTGGGGGCATCACTTCTTTGCCTGTGTACCCAATGGCTGATGAGTGGTAGGTCAGCTCTTCCACAATCATATGCTTGGGACTGGATCACCCACACCCCTGCTGTCAGGGCCAGCTCCACTGTGTTGCTTGGCAACATTGCAAGACTCACTCTTCCAAGAGCTGTCAGTGGTGAGAGATGGGGCCAGTTCTTCAGAACTCTGCACCAAATGAGGGGTGGGGCCAGTTCAACACAGTCCCTGAATACCCAGGTGGTCTCAGGCAGCTTCTCTGACCAGGGACGTCCCCATGTTCTCTTGTGGTAATATGAGTCCTGGACATCAACCCTGACCCCTGCCACTGCATAGCCATGGACTCAGACATGGCTCACAGTAACAGCTTGGGCTGGAACCTCACCATGGCCCCTAGGTGGTGGAGCTGGCCACTCAAACAGGCTACTACTCTCCACCCTCCAGTTCCATCTTTCTTCATAATACTCAAAGTGCTCCATTTCTCTTTCTCATCTGACTACCACACACACACACACACATTATAGTGGATACAGTTGTAGGCTGGCCATGACGCTCCAGGTTGACATTCTCCAACAACACTGAGTGGAACATTGGCAAGCAGGTGTCTATGGGTCACCTGTGCCATGCACTGGACCAGGGCAGGTCTGTGGGTGGCACATCAGTCCTTGGGTCTCTGTCTGTGTTCCTCCTCTGCTATCTGGATTTGCTTTGCTTTGCTTTCATTTTCATGAGTCCTAGGCATAAGAGAGCTTTGGTCACCAAGACAGGCATCAAGCTAGGATGAACAAAGAGCTGTAATCTACTCTGCCTCTGACTGATATAAAAACAACATCAACAGCAAGATGATGTTTTGCTCATTGCTGGGGGATAGTGTCTTTGTATTCTTGATAATATAGCCTGTGAATAATGCCTTCTATATCTTTTTTTCTTACTTAGGGTTTTATTTATTTATTTTTTCTAACCACAATGCCCTAAACTTAGGTCTCCATTTAACGGCTTAAAAGTAGTGACGAGAGCACAGAGATTCTGTCAGATTGTGTGTGTGTGTGTGTGTGTGTGTGTGTGTGTGTGGTGTGTAGGAGTTTGTGTGTGAATGCATGCAGACATATATATGTTGGTGGGTTTACATATGGAATTCTGAGATTGATGCTGAGTGTTTTCCTTCATCACTTTCTACCTTGGTTTTTTTTTTTTTTTTTGAGATAGGGTTTACTAATTTGGCTAGAGCGACTGGCCAATGAATTCTAGGGACCCTCCGGTGTCTGTTTTCTAACCTCTGGGGTTACAGATTCATTCATTATGCTCAGCTTTTTCATGGGAGCAGAGGAAATGAACTCACTTCCTCATGTTTACGTGTCGGTTGCTTTACTGAGTCCCTAAGATTCTTATTATCAGAGAGAAACAGTGCAATAAAAATAGATTGATGTAACATTTTCATAATATGTTTTTATATATGCATTGTCTCATATTAAAGATGTTACCTTGTTCTCAATTTTGATATTTTTCAAAAAGATAGAGAAATAAAATTTTATGAATACTAAGTCTTAGAATTCAATTTTATAAACTGTCTTTCTGTGAAAGTTTTCCTGTAAAGTTAGATTTTTGTTAAATATATTCTGGAATTATTGACTCTTTTTTTGCTCTTAAAATTAATCTTGTTCTTTGGAAATTCACTTTCACTTGTTGCTAATGAATGAAATACATTTTTTTTAGAAATGATTTATTTAATTCTCTTATCTCTCTCCCTCCCCTCTGTGTGTGTGTGTATGTGTGTGTGCGTAATGTAAGTAGCTAGCAAATACAAGTGCCTGTGAAGATGACAAGAGCCTTTTTCACTGTACAATTAGGTATTACTATGGATCTTATTTATATATTATATATTATTGAAATTTATGTGATACAATGTGTTGAGCATAATAATAATAATATATGTTTGTAAATTACTCAAAGAGTAGATGATAAATATTCTAAATTTATAAAGTATGTAGCTGGGATAACATACATGATAATTAGCATGATTTAATATTTCTAAAATTTATATACATCTCCATTATCTCATTGCTGACTGCTAATAAAAGTTGAAACAATGTAATAAGTAAAATAAATTTTATAAGACATTATTTAGGGTAAAATAAATGTTGATAAAAATAAATAGTGCATATGTAAGATTCATAATAATGCATATTGTACATTAAATTCATAGCAGTCAATATTCATAGAGAAATAGAAATAAATGTTCAAACATCATAGTAAGTATAGTAATATAGCATAAAAGATCAATGTATAAAAATGAAGTATCAGGGCTGGAGAGATGGTTCACTTGACAGAAGAGCACATACTGCTCTTCAGAGGCCCTGATTTCATAACTAGTACAATGGGATATTTCAGTTTAGTTTTTATGTCCTCCATGATGAATATTGATGCTGAGTATTTTTTATATATTTATTGCCATTGTCTTTTTTTTGGATAAAATGTTTGCTCTGCTACTTTTCTCAGACCTCAACATAATAAGTGCTATGTATGACAAACCCATAGCCAGCTTCATCCTAAGTGGAGAAAGCCTCAAATCAATCAAATCAGGAATGAGACAGGGCTGTTCATTATCTCCAGTCATTTTCAATATAGCACTTGAAGCAATAGCTTGAACAATAAAGCAAGAGAAGAAAATTAAATGTATACAAATAGGAAAAGAAGTCAAATTATCTCTATTTGCAGATGACATAATGTTATACATAAGTGGCCAGAGTTATTTGTTTTGCTGGGCAGAAAACTTTGAATTTGATGAAGTTTGATCTGTATATTTACTGCTTTTGTTGCCTATATTTTGGTATTATTTTTTATGAAATTATCACCAATTATTATTAATGACCTCTCCCAAATTATTACCAAAACCATTCAGAAAAATATTTGTTTTCTTCTGGAACATTTCTTTTGTTGGATACATAATTCTCTATTACAAATTTTAAATGTCATCATTTTATTGGGTGAGTTTTGGAATTCTTGGGTGAATCCAGGGCTTTGCACATGAGAGATAAATGCTCTACTATTGACCTAAGCTCTCAAATTTTTAGCCTAAGCATTATAAAAAATGCTTCTTTCTTATGAGAAATCATTGTTTAACTTTACTATTCTTCCTAAGTATAGTTTTTGTTTGTTTGTTGTTGGATAGCTTCAAGATTTTCCCTTTGTCTTTGTTTCCCAAAGTCTATTGTATATCTAAATGGGTATATTGTTTACAGTTTATCCAGACTGCTGAATTTGAAAATATATGTGCTTGCATTATTTGTCTTTTGGGGGAATACTTTGTTAGAATTGAAATTAATTTACAATAATCGAACATATTTAATGTATTCAGTTTTATGAGTTTTCATTATGTTTAGAAATGTTTTAGATATTGTTTTTCAAATACTTTCATTTCTTGTGATTCTTCTGGCACTTTAATTATATATATGTGATTAGTTTGTTATTGCCTCATGTATTATCAACACTTCATCCTTTCCCCCATGTTCATATTTTTATTCTCTAAACACCTATATTCTTTCTTACTTCAGATTGGATAATATTGTTGATATTCTAGTTAATCCTTTCTTCTACCATTTCAAATCTGCTTTCTTGTGAACTTTAGTTTGCATTTTTAGTTACAGAATTTGCATCTTTAAAAAATTCCTCATCTTGTTACAATTTCCTACTTGTAAGTATTTATTGCAAGTATATTTTCCTTATTTTATTATGTAGCAATGAGCATTCATTTAAAACTCTTCCTGACAATTTCATCATTTGTTTTAATAAAAGTTGGTCTGTGTTGAGTGTGTTTTCTCTTGAGTATTGATAATATTTTCATATTTCTGTTTTATAAATTTGTAACTCATCTTCAACATTGTGAATGAAATAGTCTGGTTTCTTTATTTCTCTGTAGAATATTGATTTTTGTTTGTTTCAGTACTTAGTGAAATGGCTTAATCCTTTCAGATTTATTTACATTTTTTTCGACTCTGTTCCAATATACATATTTCACAAATTTTACCATATTTGGCCAGTTTACTTCCATTTCTCTCTCTCTCTCTCTCTCTCTCTCTCTCTCTCTCTCTCTCTCTCTCTCTTGGTTTTCTCACATTATTTACAAACTTAGGTTATTCACAGTGAATTTTTATCTTTTGACTCTTCAAGTCGCATAGACTGAAAAATTGTGTGGGGGATTGTATACTTGTATTCTTAACTTCCTATCCATAGCGTTGTACATGACAGGTACATTTGGCAAATGCTATGAATTAAACTTTTATTTACTTTTTGTTTATATTTTCCCTTACAATTCAATTGCTAAACATTTAACAGATGCAATAACGATTCTAGTTTCTCTGAAGTTTTATTTACTGCTTTAGCCTGGGGGCTGCCATCAGGTAAAACTTCCTTCCATGTGTCAACTCCCTTCCTATCTCTTTTACTTGCTTGATGCTTATTATGTTCTTTGTGACCTATATTATTGTGGTTTGTCTGAAAGATAGTGTACTTTCTGCTTATTTTCATTCTCTATTAGTTTACATTTCTTTCTCTTTTTTTTGGTGAGCTCATCATTTTTAGTATTTGCATAATAAAAAAGGCCACATGCTTTATCACATGCTTTATCATATATATGCCGTTTGGATTGAAGAAACATATAGGTCATAAAAATAGAAGTAGTATCTGAGACAAAGAATAGAATCAGTGATGGGAAGACAGCATAGAGTAATGACAGGTCAATACATTAATATACATATTATACATTTATGAAAATTTCACAGAGAAAGAAGCCTATTATTTTGCATAATGAAGATATGATGATAGAATTTTAGAGCATAAGGAAGAATATTTGTTTTGAGCTTATCTTCAGTTAAATAATTTGTATTAAGATATCTTTACAAAAAGATACTATCTTGTTGGTTTATTTGTTCAGTATAACTGCCCGTTCTGTCCCACTTTGGGTGCCACTTTGTAACTGCCCATTCTGCCCCACATTTGGGGGCTTCTTTGTCCCAGCCTGAGCTGCTGCTCCGGTCTGCAGGTCAGGGTCTAGCAAGAGAGAGAGTGGGGATGGAGGGGCAAGAGACTCGAAGAATGAAGACAAGACAGAGTCTGATCAAGTTTCTCTTTTATTGAAAGGAAATCCTGGGTATTTATACCCTTTACCACATGCCTTGCCCTCATGGGCAAGCAGGGGAACACAGCTGAAAGCAGTTTGCCACATGCCTTGTAGCCATGGATACCACGTGTACCTTGTAGCTGGGGGCACTAAGCAGCAAAACAAGATATGTGAGAAAAACAAGATGTTTATCAGAGTGTGCTCAGCTGTTATGGGCTGTTGAAAACAAGTCTCTTGTCAGGGTATATGGCTCGAAATGGCTGTAAAGATGATAGTTGCTTTCTGCTAGGATTTGGCTCCCAACAATTCAGTATCTTGGACAAAAATGAAAAGTTAACAACTGCAGTAGACTGAATAGTGTCCCACTAAAATTCATATCTGTTCACAACCTCAGGTTGTAATCTTACTTAGATGATAAACTTTGCAAAAGTTGTTAGTGATGAGATGATCTTGGGTTTAGTGTGACTGTAAGAAAAATAGTGGTACATTTGCACAGTGGTAAAAAGGCACAGGTAAATGACTGGAGTGTTGTTTCTATGTGACAAGGAATGTCAAGATCCAACAGAAGCTAGGAGAGGTAAGGTAGAATTTCTCCCTAGAGCCTGTGGAGGAGGTGTGGTTCTGTTAATATCCCAATTAGGCTTCTGGTCTTTAGAATAGTGGCAGAATAAATTGCTATTGCTTTATACTATTGAAAAGATGACCATTTGCTATGGAAGTTCTAGAAAACCAATACCTCATCCTCATAAAGT